AGAAATTGTATATAAGAAATTGCCTTTTATTTACTTTCTTATGTAGAATCATCTTCCTAGTTATGTCAATAACAGACTATCATCATGCGATGCAACTTTATTCATTCCGACTTACTGATTCGATGCAATTCGCGCTAAACTGCAATCGTTTTCATAACCACCAAGATAATTTTGCATACCGGTGTGAATAATACTTCCCACAGACACATCCACATCATTTGAGCATAAATACTGCAGCAAATCCACAACTTCCGTGTCGTTTGACTGCAATAACAAAAGTGAGATGTTGCAATTTTACAGTACATTTGGCAGTAAGATAGATGAATCTTTGAATAGTTACCCATAAATCAATTTTAGTAAAGGAGGAATAATCACTTAAACCAATTGCTTCTCTGCAAGCAGCATATTCCTGTGCAACCGCGTCGAACCAAGGGGGCTTACTGAAGGTATTTGTGTAAGCTATTTTGTATCTCTGGAAACCGTCGGGAAACTCCAAATCTATTAAGAATACTCGTGATATTGAATGAAATGGATTCTTTTTGAAATGGAGTTTTGTAGAAAGAGTTTTGTATGATGTATAAAAATTACCACAGTCATGGTCCGGTTGAAACCAGGAGGGTCTCTCATAGCCCATGACCTGGCCGAAAACGGCGCCTGCATCTCGAAGTTTTGGATAAATCGGTGACATTCTCAGATTTCTTCCGGTTTTGAACTCAAGATGCGGATACTGCAGCGCGTAGTGCATTCCAGGTACCTCTCGCACTCGATCGCGTAGAAATTTGCGATTATTATGCAACCCAAGGAAACGCGAGACATCTAACTCGTACATATCTAACGAAGTCGAGCCGTTAACTATTAATTCCGCCGTTGCGCGACCGACTCCGCCAGCGGCGGATATTCCGACCTTTGGAAATCATCACTTATATCAAAGAATTTCGAAAGCCTATACAATTAGATAATCTAATCAGCTAATTGACTAACTGTTTTCATTCCAGCAGCAATGTAGTAATTACGTATTTCCGGTGCTTCTCCCACAATCCATCTGCAATCTGGGGAGAACGCTTCAGGCCCGTTGCAGAGCCTTTCCAGAACTGCGTTTCCCAAACTTGGAATTCTATGCAACATCTGTTCCAGCAAAATATGAAAATGATCCCAATCTTCTGGTAAAAATCGCTTATCCATGCTTTCTAAAAAACGAAAAGAAAATTGACAAGTTAATTTAGTGAAATGGAATTAGACGAGTAATTAGTTATCTTTCGTAAATGTAACATATTAGAATAATTCTTATTCATAATTTTCATTCTAACCAGGAATTATGCCATCTTCAAATGCTGGCTTTGCAACTGGCTCAAAGCCACCAGCTAACAGGCGTCCTTCGTTCTCCCGAAAATAGATATATCCATCCAAGTCGCGTATAACAGGTATCATTGGATCTAAATTAGCAATAGGTTTAGTATGTAAATAATAATGTTCTACTGGATGAAGTGGTACCTGAAAAATGAGCAAGACATTATTTTCTATCAGATTACTCTTCTTGTTTAATAAACTATATATCAGACCTTGACATGTGGCTCACTGAGTTTACCCACATTTCGTGCCCAAAATCCAGCACAATTTACAAAATGTTGACATTTGATCATACCACGTGTTGTTTCTACCGCTTCTATTTGGCCACTGTGATTAATAACTTTGGTAACCGTGCAATTCTCAAATACTCTGACACCTGAATAACAAATAATAAAACAAAGAATATATTTAATTTAAGAGTAGTTGACAATTAAATTCTTCTGGATATTCTTTTTTTTTTTAATTGTGACACCTCTTTGTTGTGCCTCTTGCATCAGTGTCAAACAGATCTGATATGGATCACCAACACCATCTCCTGGAATCCACAATCCTCCAATTAAATCCTCAACGTGTAACAATGGACACAGATCATGAATTTCTTCTGGCGAAACTAAGTGGCACTCAATATTACGTGATCTGAAATATTAATGAAATTTAAATAGAAATGTCCACCATGGTATCTTGCATTTATTAAATAAATTTACACAGATTGCGCTTTCATTCGTCTGAACGATGTCATGCGGTCTCTCGTTCGTGCCAAGGAAAGGCTGCCGCATTGCTTCCATCCTGTCGAAAGACCTTTTTTCTCCAACTCTTGGTATAAAGCGATACTATCCTGGGCAAGTTTTACTTGTGCCAGACTTGGTTTAAAAGCTCCTACTAATCCTGATGCATGCCATGTTGTTCCGCCTCCTAGTCTGATGACAAATATAAAGAATACATAAGAGAAAATTATATAAGGATAATAATTTTGTTTTTAAATACTTATGTGTAGATATTTTTAATAGTTTGTTAAGAAAAATACATTTGGGAGCATAATACTTGTGTACCTGCCACTTTCTACCAAAATAGTCTCTGATCCTAGTCCTATGAGGGACAAGTGATATGCCACAGCACCACCCATAACTCCACCTCCGCATATAACAACTCGTGCTTCCTTAGGAAATACATATTCCGAATCATCTGATATCACGTCGATTATTTTTGTGACCGTTTCCCGAGTTTGGTAACTGCGAGAAAAAATATTTCTCCCTTGCACTACGCCTCTACTATACAACAGTTTACATTGTTTCCACATTTGGTGTTCCTAAAATAAAGAATACTCCGTCCACCTTAAATTTTGATTTAAAAAATATGCTCAATCTATTTATATGTATTTAAAAACAAATATTTCACAAGAAGAAAGAATCGCTCTGCCCCCGCGAATCGAAACACTATTAATCGTAACACTATTGAAATTAAACCACATTTGCAAAGCTGTTTCTGCTAAATGCAGCCTGACGCAACTCAGCTGAAAATTTGCCCAGAGATAAAGGTCTTTAATAGGTGCATTCTGTACTACGACCGCTCATTGAGCGCTTAGTGAGCTCTTAAGTCGGTTCTATATTAGTTCTATATTAGTTCTATATTAGTAAGCCGATCGCAAATTTGTTGCCAATCATATGAAGCGTTGATTTCAAAATGGAAGCTTCAGATTGGCTGTCGCAACAAACTTGTGATCGGCTTGCAACTAATGTAGAACCGGCTTAAGGTACATATATGTGTTCCGTTATTGCAAGTTTAGAGTGAAATCACACGGTATGGAAAACGACTGAGGAATAGAGAATGCGTCATAGACATGATAGCAACTAATCAACATTATTCTGGGTTATTCCGAATAGCGTTAATTGGTTGTTTCAATGACGCATTTCCTATTTCGCAGCTCTTTTCCGCACCGTGTGATTTCATCCTTAAAATAGCTGCAATTTTAGAGACGTGTTAGAGACTCCGCACAATAAAAGGAACAAGGAACAGAGAATAGAAAATAAGAATTTCAACCTATCGAAAACGGTGTATTCCACAATATATTTCTGATAGATTGAAATTCTTATTCTCTATTTTCTGTTCCCTGTTCCTTTTATTATGCGGAGCTTATGATAGGCCCGTATTCAGAACGCGCTTTTATCTCTGAAATTCTATAATATGCATAAATAATAAATTAAGCAGCATTAAGTAAATTATAGCATGATACGCCACCATTGTTGTAAGCGTTCTGAATACGGGCCATGTAATATATTTGTCTTTCTGTTATAAATTTTATTAAAATTACTACCTTGCATACAAAAGTTGACTCAAATCGGCACATGTCGCAATTCTTAGAGGATTGAAGGATTTTTATGGTAAACCAAGTCCTTCGTTCACGCGAGTGACGGCAAAAATTGTATGATAAAAGCCGAGGAATTCTTCAGAGTGAGACAATTTGAGGCTCTAAGCGAGTTTCAATGACAGCGTCTGTACGTTTGTAATCTAACAGCGTTGTTTACATTGAAATTTTAGGTTATGTTTGTACCTGTACAAACGGTACTTTCTTATATTACGTTGAAATCAAGGTGAATGATTGAGCATCCCCAATAATTGTCTATCCTTGTGCTCCTTCAATTTCTATTTTTTTTTTTTTTCAGAAAAGCGAAAATGATGTGATAATAATGTCGTAGGTGAAACATATGGATGCTTTATGTATCTGGATGATTGACATATTATGCGATAATCCTCGATACGTGATGATTCGCTAATAATTTCCCTCTGTTCGAGGCTGATAATAAGGCAGTATGGTTTTCAAATTCTTTCAAATTTTTTTTTCATATGTGTAGTATCGGATAATGATAATGAGATCAAATTTTTTTCTAATGATAACGAAAGCATATGCTACACGCTGGATTTTTGTACAGAAACATATATAGTCTGTTCCACAAGAGCGTACGGGTTGTCTCTCCTAAAATTCACAAAATTGTTAAATATTTAATTTGGATCTATTAATAAATTTAATAAACTAAAATGTATTTTCTTAATAAGTTATCCAATCTCCTTTGTTATCGAATATGATCTAGCAACATTGAGGCATGCAGCATGCTTTCCATAAGATTTTCAGCCGTTTTCTCAGGAAGATATCCAGATATTTCCATATATGACAAACGAGCTACTTTAAATTAAAAACTTTTTTCCTGACTTTCATGACTGTTCACACATTTTTAATAAGATTGGTATCAGATGACTGAGAAGACCAATTTATTGTAGTGGTATTTTTACATTTTCACTTTGTATACACATAACTTTGATGTTTTGTGTCATTGTTCTCTTGAAGCACCTATGAAATATTATCTGAGCCAAACCATCTTTAAGCAGATTTCAATAAAACACTTATGATAAATTATGTTCATTTTTTGTGCATTCATTGTCCATGACGAGATATTAAGTACCAAATTCCCATTGCTTACAGAAGCATCCCCACACGTGTACTTTCAATGGATGTTTTACTTGAACAATGGGATCATGACAAGTCGACTATGCATACCTTCTGGGAATCCAGGCCCAAAAGAATGATTCATTGGTAAAAGATTATATTGGCAAAATCACAATCAATATTAGCATTTGCCCACTTCAGCTGTTTTCCGACATATTTTTTGCTTAAAAAAGGTTTTTGTGAATCGCCAGCCGTATTCAGAATCAAGCAATCATCGTCTAGTATTAAGATTCACTTCTACACTCTTTTTCAATAAAAGATTCTTTGCTCATCATAACAAACATCCAGAATTCTTCTCAAATATCTTGATAGCTTTGTTCATCTTTTTCGTCATTCAGCGCGAGAGTGCCACGTTGCAGCAGATCGTCAACACTGTTACGTTTCACTCACATGAGAGGATTAACGAATCCTTCTGACTTTTTCATGTGGTGGCCGATAGCTGCATATGACATTTTTTATTTTTTCAGATGTGTTCAAAGAAACACTGCTTCAAAACGACTTGCATACGCAGCGTTTATTTTATTCTGTTACAGACAAAAGTCACACTACCCATATAACCTCGAAGCATTCTTCCAGACTGTTTAGAGAATCGAAAAAAACCGAATTTAACATCTGTGTACTATTTATTAATGAAATTTGGAACCGTACGCTCTTGTGGAACAGACTATTAAAAAAATATTCTGTCTCTAAAAATACAATCTATAGTATAAATATTTCTAATTGAAGAATTTCTAACAGCAATTCCATTAATATATATTAAATTCCACTTTTAAAAAATTTGACAACCAATATTAATGGCAAACAAATTTTTGGCATACTTGGGATCCTCTCTATCTCCAATTTTAGCAAATTTTATATCTTTATACTGCAGAATCTGGAGAATGATATTTTTAATACCATCAATATTGATATTCTTATTTATGTGCACGATATTCTACTAGTAGTTCTACGAGACCAGATAAATATGATTCTATATAGATTTAATATTCTTATTATAATAGAATAAAATTCACCGTTGAAAAGATGGTATTACGAATTTTCTAGATGTAAAATTATGATAATAAAGGACGGAAAAATTATTTTTTACGTAACATTTTTAAAAACTTACTAACTCTGGTAGATTTCTCAATGAGGATATTCATAGACTGAGACTTATTCTAATCATATCTGAATTCAACACTCTCGAAACTATAAAAATACATTTAAATTCAAAATTTATTTTGATCAGCAGAAAATCAACTTTTTATCGACACAAAAGAAAAAATTTTGTTCTTTAAAATAAATATTTTTTGCAATAAAGTTCTTCAGATTTTAATCTTATTTACATCATTAAGATCTTTCTAAAATATCTAGAGCATCAAATTGTTAAGTTGTTAGTCAATTTAATTTGTGATATTACTACTATTGTTCAGTCGGATTGTTTCAAAACCGAAAAATCAATTCGGCGCGCAATTTAAATGACTACAAATGTAATATATAAACATCATATAATATTAATCAAGTTCTTAAGATCCAGCTTGTCCATTTGTTCCTTATTAGTTGTATATTCACATTTACTTGTCCTAAGAAAGTTTTTATTCAATAAATTTTGTATTATTAATCATATATTATTAATCATATATTCTAATTGTTTCAGAATTTTTTTATTTCGGAAATATGACACGCTCACATGTAAAATACCAAATTGCTAGAGATGATGTTGATACATCCGAGTATTTACCACAAAATATTCCAGATTTTCAAAATGTGACGAAGACAGAACCCACGTTTTGGAGAAAAGCGTTCCACGTATTTTTATTGATATCTGCTTACTTTATTTTATCAATAGGCCTTACATTTTATAATCCATGGCTTTATAATGCATATGTGAGTAATTGATAATTAGAATTTTTTGTTTGTAACTTTTTCATCTATCTAGTCCTAATGTAAAGAAAAAATAATAAATATCGAAATATAATCGAAAGGCACATACATGTATTCGCGATTACACATAATGGGGAAGAAAACACTCTTTTTGGACAAAAATTTTATTAGACGGCTTAATCGATTTTGATGATTTTTTAAAAATTTCTTGTTATAAAATTTCCTGCATAGAGTTTTTGATATAAAACTATAATTCGAAATGGCAATTTTCCAAGACGGCGCGAGCGGTGGCCCTTCATATTGGAAAACTTCCATTAGGGGTTTCCATTAGGACATCGAACTCTAAGGCTGCGCTCAAAGTCTTTTACAAATGCTTTGAAGCATTTGGTTGACCAATTAGAAAAAAGAATTTTACAAATTGACCAATCAAAAATTGCTTTAAAGTATTTGTAGCATCGCGTTGACCATATCTTAAGACATATTTAAAAATCATCACTACTGAAATTTTTGCAAGCAAAAAATACATTTTGATTGGACTATTTGTCTTGGGCTTGTCTCAGTGTTGTCCTGTTTTTCTACCTCAACAGTTGAGCAAGTCTCTGATGTTTATCTTTGTATGTTCTCTCGCAGATTCTCAGAACGCGATATTTTTATGTCAATTAATTTTTTAAAGAAATTTGCAGTCAAAGTAATGGCGATATAATCATTACAAGGTTTTAAAACGATGCAGAAAAGCATATTAAAAAAAAAAAAGTTTTTTAAGCTCAGTTTTGTGAAAAATATATACTTTAAAAACCAATACTGATAGTAGAAAGTTTAATACGAGGAAACTCAAATGTTTAGTCATAGGGCGCGGGTACCCATTGTCCGATCAAGTTTGGCAGGGATTATTTTTTTTGTTAATTGAAACTATTCTAAGGAGGTCCTGTGGAAAGAATTCGAAAAATAATTTTAACCAAGAGTAAATAAAAACCACTTTAATATCTGTATATATGTATATATTTAATATATACATTTATTTATTTATTAACACTATTTGTATATTTTTAGGGTTTTAATTTTCCACTTGGTGTGGTCGTTTGCCATTTGGTTATAAAGTTTGCACTATCCGCATTAATAAGAACTATTAGAAGATGTTATAATAGTAAACGAATAAATCTTCCATGGCAAAATATAATTTATTCAATAATGGTACCTGGTATAGCTAGTGGTGTCGATATTGGTTTATCAAATTGGGCACTTTCATTAATATCAATATCTTTGTAAGTATAATCTTATAGCAATAATTAAGATGGTAAGGAATTTATTATAAAGTACATGACATTTCTTCCTAGAGTCACTATGACTAAGTCAACTACTATTATATTTATTCTTGGGTTTTCTCTTCTATTCAAATTAGAGAAAAAGGTAAGGAGATTTTCAATAAAGTATATCTGTGATATTTCTTAAATATATATTAAATATTCTTATATAACATTTTTATATAATTTATAAATAATAATTATTGTTCATTGTAGTCATGGTCTTTAGTAGGGATAGTGGCGATGATAGCAGGAGGATTAGCGATGTTCACTTATAAATCTACTCAATTTGGTATTCTTGGATTTATATTGTGTCTCTTAGCATCGTTTGCGAGTGGTATTCGATGGACTATGACGCAACTGATTATGCAAAGATCGAAACTCGGCCTCCATGATCCGATAGACATGATGTATTACATGCAACCTTGGATGCTGTTACCAGCAATATCAGTGACTTTATGGTTTGAAGGTAATTCTGCATTTTGTAACAGAATTTTATAATTAATTATAGAATAGAATTATATATGTAATATAATTAATTATAGAATTAATCTTAATTAATTAGAAAATTTTTGGTAAATACTCACTTCAGGGGAAGGCTAATATTCCTGCTAATATGACTTCAACATGTTATCAAGGTTATAACCCTGATCTTTAACAGCCGTCGCTTGTTATTCATTAAAAAATTCTTAACAATCAAAATTCGTAATTTCTCCATTTTGCATGAAAGTCGGATGATTCGTTTGGTTGTTTCTTCCTTCAGACACATTCCTTTTAGACACATTCAATTTTAAACTTAAATTAAAACTCATTGTAGATATTGCTTTAAGGAAACTTCTTCAAGATATCGATCATGCAATTTTTCTAGAGCGAAAACGTGAAAAGTGAAAATTTTTATATATATCAGTATTGTACAAAAAAAATGAAAGTGAAAGGTGACAAATGAAGTTTTTTTCATTTTTAGTATAAGTTGTCCGCGTCTTTATCTACTTCCATTCTCAAAGGTTTTCGAATTCAAAGGATCGATTGTGTATTTGAAACAAGAAAATTACAAAAGCGAACAAATTCATTAGATGTTAATCAATGAAATTAACAAAAATAAAATTTTAATCTGTTCACTTTTGTAATTTTCTTGTTTTGAAATATGTGGAATCGATCTCCTGTTGCCAGGATTACGTATTTTAAAAGGATATGAAAATTACACTAATGAGCAAATTCAATATGATGTTGAATAGAATGATGAAATTATAAATATTTTAGTAAATTTTAATAAATCATTTTTGTAATTTTTAGATTATTTCAAGTTTTAAGATACATAATCGACTCCTAGTAAATTCGAGGAAAATTCATCACATGTAACGTCGTTAATTCCTGTCACTCCAGCATCACCTTAAAGACTTGTTCTATTTTAGGTGGCAAAATATACGATAGTATTAGAATCACCGATTGGGGCAACATCAGTAATATTTTATTGACTACAGCTGCTGTAGTAACAGGTGCCATTTTAGCATTTAGTATGGAAGTGATGGAATTCTTAGTTGTTACTTATACTTCTAGTCTGACATTGTCGATCTCGGGAATATGTAAGGTAAAATTATTAGTCAATTTATTATTGAATTCTATACTGTAATAAATATTATGTTTATGCTTTCTATTCCAATAATCAAGAATGCGTTGAAATGGATTGAAATTTTTATGCATATCTATTAGTCCAGTGAATCTAAAAAAACTGTTTTTAATTAATTAGATCCAATTGGATTCAACTGGATTCAATTAAAAAATTTTCTATTCAGAATTATGAATTGAGCCATATTCACGAGGAGCGCAGAAAAAGCTGATAATATTTTTAGATTGAAAAGCACAGAAATGTTATTTTACGTATGTAATACGTGCTTCTACACGCACACGCACGCGCGCACCCTCCCCCCCCCCCCACACACACAAATAATTATGCAATTTCTATAAATAAATTCGGAAAAAGTTTTATTTTACGTGAATGTTTATCTCTGAAAATCTGAATCCATTTCAATTCTCGTTTACTTGAGATTTCTATTAAAAACAATTATAATAAAATCAGAGAATGGAATGTTATTTTTCAAAAGTAACGACATATGCAAAAAAACGGTTCACTAAATTTTAGCACAAATTTTTAATATTTTTCAATAGCAGTAAAATCGTTGTATATTTATTGAAATAAATCAAAGTTTTAAAAATCTCATGAATATAAATAAATCCTCTTGAAATCCATGAAGAAGAGATCAAGTTTGAGTTACACGAAATGTGTTACAAAATGGCTGTCAATTTTTTACTCTCACCTTTTCTCTTTAAAGAGAGAGAAGGAGAGAGAGAAATTTTTGAACCTCGCTTACAATCAAAATATAGGGCTGCGCAATCAAAAGAATAGGCAACAGAGTGAGAATTTTAACCTATCAGAAATTGTTATTCCATAGTATATAATTTCTGATAGGTTGAAATTCTTATTGTCTGTTTTCTGTTTCCTATTCGTTTGATTGTGCGCAGCCCCTAATATGTAACCGGGCCTTAGATCATAAGACATTGTTGCTGTAGTCAATTTGGACACTTAAGCGCTTGTAATCATCATTTTGTCTTCATTGTTTATTAGACATAAAATAAGAATAGAAATACAGAAAAGCGCTGAAAGCGTCCAAATCGATCACTGCCTCAATCTTAAGATTATAAATCATTAGCCATTCTGTTGAGATCCTTAAAATGATCATGAAGAACGAATTATAAATACTGGCTAAAGATTAAAGATTGAATATGTACAAAATTACACATAGATTCAAAATATAACATATAACAATTGATAAATTAGGTTAATAGGTTCAAAATAACAATAAAAGTAATTGTAAAATTCGTTATAAAACCATTATAAAAAAAAGTATAATTACCGTTACAAAAAAAGTAACGCCGTTTTCAGTCAGTTACAAAAAAACTTGTAACGGTTACAAGTAACAATGTTATTTTCATTTCCTGAGAAAAATACAAGATTTATCAAGTTTTAGATATCAAGTTTTATTAATACACGTCACAGAAAAGTTTCATAGATAATACTAATATTCATTCTATTTAGCTAATTTTCAATTTCCCTTTGTTTTTCATTTTGTAATGATTTTTTTTACAGGAAATATGTACATTGGCACTGGCCTTTGTATTGAAAGGTGACCAACTGACTGGCCTTAACTTTGTAGGATTGTTAATGTGCCTTGGTGGTATAATACTTCATATTGTTCAGAAAATATTACTTAACAGAAAGAAAGCAATTGATAATATGGAATTGCAATCAAAAGTGGCAAGCAACAATGTTAAACGCGAAGAGGAAACCGATTCGAACGTGCCATTATTGACGGAAAAATCGACTTCTTTAATTAATCTTCTCAATGCTGAATTTAGCTCGGATGAAGATGGTGATGTGAGAGAAAGTGATAACTCGACCCAAATATTGTCAGATATTTTGCAACGTAGAGAACAGTGATATATTATAAATTTTTAGATCTGATAAGAAATTATTTTTTATTAAGAACATTTGAGTGTATATTTATGACTTACAGCACTTTCAGATTTTTCCAGTATAAATTTTACAATCAATAATGAAATTGTGGATATCATAAAGAACGACTCCAAAAAACATACGTTTTTGGCCTATGTATTTTGTGGCCCTTGAATTCAAATTGAATAGTATGCTAAATGATGCTATATGAAGGAACATTAATCTAAAAAAAAAGTTAGAAAATTTGTACATATGCTACATGCGATACTAATGTAGTAGTGTGTAGTGATATATCAATGATATGTAAATCGTATGTGTAAATCTTGTTGAGTCGATAAAACAGACGACTTCAGGATCTCTTTAAAAAATTAAACATCAGGATTGGGAGAGGTAAGAAACTGACTGGGAATGGTAAGAAATTATTCTATTTATAGTCAAAATTCTACTGTTAAGGAAATATTAATTATCTTTTTATGTCTATGTTGCTTGAACAATATTTAAAATATTAGAAATTTGATTATTTTGACGATATTTTTGAAGATACTTCTCGTACTCTTATACTCAACTTAAATTTTTTTTGAGATTAATGTCTCGTAGCATCATCATATAGCATCATATAGCTTATAATCCGATTCGAGGACTACAAAATGGGCTAGATTTGGGATCGCTCTTTTATATCACATGTTTATAAAATTTGATATATCAGAAATAATAGACATTTTGATGTTTTGATTAACGTTAAATGTATCGGAATTTAATTAAAAATATAATTTGTGAAAATACAAGATTTCCCGATATACTTCTATATATATTATGTAAGAAGAAGATACAGATATCTTAAAAAATTGCGAAGTACAAAAATGAAAGCGTGAAATGTGTTTCGCGTATTAATATTGATAAAAAAACATCACTACAAACTATAAAAATTTATTATTGTTTTGAACATTATATAAGAGCTTTACAATATATTAATTTGTTTAAATTGTGTATATGTGTGCGCGCGCGCGCGCGCGTGTGTGTGTGTGTAGAGACGAGCGGGCGGGTGTGCGTGCATGAGTGCGTACGTAAGGGCTGACAAAAGATGTTTTTTTTTTTTAAGAATGAAGCATTTTGTGTTTTTTAAAATATGTTTTTACATGATTTAAACAGTATTAAAAAAATATGTTTAAAACATGATTTTTATCAATCCTGGATTAGATGTGCATGTTGCACGCGCACATTATTTTAGAATACATGTCCAAAATATAATGATAATTCAATATTTATCTTTTAATAATGAACGCACAATAATTAATAAATTTAAACGCACTAATTAGGTGTCAAATATGATATGAGTTATTTAAATAAATATGTTTTTAAAAATCTTATGCACATACCCAGACAGCACAAGATACTAAAAGATAATGAAATCTTTTTTAAGTTGTCTTTCCGACAAAGCAAAAAAGATGTCTAAAAGATAATGAAAAGATGATGATGTTTTTAGATTGTCTTTTCAAGACGAAAAGATGTGCAAATATTTCGAATTACAAAATACAGATGTTACTTACATATTAATAGCATAATAAAATGTATTCAGAATTTAATTCATTTTTATTTATATTAAACACATTTTTACATTAATTTATGTATGATTACTAATGTGCATCCAGTCGAATTCGCTATGAATTAACATAATCATATCACGTTATCAGTTAATAAACAAATCGGACATAGGTTTGTTAATAAATAATTTATTTTGTATTTCGGAATATATCCTAATTTTTTTGTTATCAAGTTTTATTTGAAATATATATCTCTTTAATAAATATAATACATAATTATAAAAGAATCATATGTTATTCAAACAGTTACTATTCTGCAATTATAATTTAATCATAGATAAGAGAAGTAGATAAGATCATTTTATGATAAATTTAAAGAATTATAAGTTTGTAATTTGTTAATTTTTCTTACAAGTAAATTACAATAGATATATTAGATATAATTTCCATCAACAATAAAATATGAATATATTTATTGTTTAACTCTTTAAAGACAAGTATCGCGAAATCTCATAATTTGACATACATAACAATTGTCTCGAAAGAATTGAACCAAATCATTATAATATGAAATTTTTATTTATATATAATGTCATTCATTTTGTCATTATTTTTATATATATAAATAAATAAAAAAATTTTATGAAACCAGTTTCTATTATAACAAGTAAGACACAATGCGATCATATTTGCTAGTTATGCAATGCTTATCTAATATTGGTTAATAAATAACGATCACTTTTATTTTTTATAAATAAAATAACAGATTTATTTTTCTTGCTTATTTTGTTTTATTTGATTAGTTTTTTTAGATTTGGCTTCAATTCTGTTTTCCAGTTTGTGAATCAACTCGTCTAATTCGTCCTAATAAACATAAATTAAGATATAATTATTCTTAGATAGTTTATACTTTGTATAGATATTATATATTGTATATATGACATACTAATCAATTGGTTATAACAAATTGTACTTACTTCATCATACGTGTACATGAGAGTACAATGCTTCAAAATCTGCTTCTTACAACTAATTAAGTGCAAGGCATGCGGCAAACAATAAACGCTGTCATCTTGCGAATTATTTACCAAAGAGACAAACAAATTAGCTCTACATGTCTCACATTCAAAATCGCCATCATCATCTTTCACCTTTTTTCCTTTCTTTCCTTTTCCACTAACTGGTAAAGGCAATCTTTCTCTATTGATAAGACCTATACTTTCCAGCTGTTTACGATAATTTAATTCTTTTTCACAAATCTTTATTACACTCGGCAATATCTAAAAATAAAATATAAAATTATAATGTAGTGCTAAGTAACTCAAAAGTTTATGTAATATATGACTATCTAATCATTTTAATCTTTAATATTAATCTAACAATTACAGCATAAATTTATTCCTACCTGTTTCAATATATCTATGTGCGATCTCGTATCATTAATAATATTAAATAACAATCTCTCAAATGAAAAGATAGAAGGTTCGCAACTATCTTGTATATCCTGAAAAAAAAAAAAATATATACACACACACACACACACACACACACACACACACAAACAAACAAACAATACATATTTATATAATAATAATAATATAATAATAAAATCATAATTAAAATTAAATGGCTAAAAATCTCATATGAAAGATTTTACATGTTACATATATACCTTAAATACTTGTTCTGCAGTTTCTAACCAGGATGGTTGTGCGAAATATACGCTTTCAGATACAACATAACCAGTACATATGCTTGATGTGAAAGCTTTTGGAAATACTATTATAAATTGTCCTGGCTCTTGCACAGTCTGACATAATGGTACATCGTTGCTCACTAATAATTCCGGCGGAACCATAGCAGTATCAGAAGGTAACCATATAGTCTTATTTTTGCAATATTGTGGTACCATTTTCGAGAGCGCTTTTCGGAAATTATTATTATGCTCATCAGGTATTCCATACCAAATTTTTTTGGCACCTGTATGTAGATACTCTATCCATGGTAGACCATGCGGATCACGATACCAACAACAAGCGCTAAATAACATACCCACATGCAATGTTGGTACTGTCACACCTAGAAATACCGACATATTATATATTATATTATATCATATAAAAATATTATATACACGTTTATTGAAAAAAGCATAAAATAAGGATTAAAAAATGAGGATCGTTGAACTGTCGTTTATTATTTATTTCATACAAATAATTATAATAATTGTAATATCTTGATTATGATATATATTGTGTGTACATATATATGTGAAAGTACCATACCCATTAGTGGACCCAAAGCTCTTAATACTGATCCAGGATTGTTAGTGAGAACTTTAAGATTCCAAGGATGTCTAGCAAACGGACTGTTTTTTGCAACCGAAAATCCAAATCCACGACCGCTCGAATCAATGCTTGCTGCATGTACGCAGACATGACGTTTTCTCTCGGCAACATGTTTCCAAAATGCACTCTCTACCTCATTGGCGGAAGCACCCTCGGTTTCATTTCCTCGTTGATTTTCACCGAACCACATACGTTGAGTATTACGGGCAATTCGATAAAAAGCATTCAATGGCATGTTTCTTCCCTTTGATATAACAAAGATATATTT